TAGTATAAAAATTAAAACTATATTTCAAATAGAGTAAGAATAATCAATGGATTGCCTATTTCACAATATCGTGTTAGTAATAATCAGTGGTCAGTACAGCTTGTAGAAGATATAATAGTTCTGATTGCTGTAACAACTACGTGTATAAAAATAAAAACATACTCTTAAATAATTGCCTCATTGTTATTATTCAATTATATGCTTAGTACAATAATCAATTTCAATTCAATGAGCTATTTCATAACCAACTGTTTCACTTCCTGTAAAATTTTTGCATTTCTCTATGTTTCAAGACCTTCTGAACATTTTGGCATACCTGAGTAATAATGGATGAGTGTATGTGTGTGTGTGCATGTATGCATGTATGGATATAATATTTTGTCTACGATTTCTGGCACACGGATTAACCGATTTGAATGATTCAATAAACATTTGATTCGTGTTGACGACGAGACGTGCTGATTAGTTTTGAGCAAATGTAAACCCGTTTAAAAAATATAGAACAAGAAGTGCTAGAAATCAAAAGTTTTTGAGAGGAGCATCCGATTTGAATGATTCAAAAAATATTTTATTTTTGTACGAAATAAAGAATTGATTGCATTTTTGCAAAGGCAGGACCACAATAGTTGTAGATGCAGAAAAAAATTGCAGAAATTGACATTTGTTGCGTTAAAAGTTATCTTTACACATCATCATTATTGATTCATATTCAAATAGAATTAGTAGACTACCTGTCAACAGGTTAAAAGGTGAAAAAGTCGAAAATAATAAAAGTAGAAATGTAAATAGCTTAGCAGCTATGGTTGACAGACATGTAGATAGTATGACAGGTGAACAGGTACTTAGGTAAAAAATAGAAAACAAGACATGTAAACAAATAGAGTAGTAGACTAATAAACTGACAGACAGGTCAGCTGGTAAGCAAACATATAAGTAGGCAGGTGAATAGATAGACACATATACAGGTAAACGAATGAACAGGTACACTAGTAAATTAGTGAACAAGCAGCCAGGTGAATAGGCTGACAGGTAGACAGGTAACATACCTAAAAACAATAACTGAATTAATAAATACATATGATTAAGAAGTAAATAAATATTAAATTTTGTTTTGTCTCTAAAAATTACTTATTATTAAAACCGTACATATTAATTATTATAGAATTATTAATTAATTATAGATTCAACTTTTATTCACAATATAATTATTAACATTTAATTCATTTAATTATAAATATTTATAATCAGTAAATTCATCCTCGTGCGCTAAAATGATTAAAAGTTAAAACAATGTATGATGTCATACTGCGAAAGATTCGATTTTGATATCGAAACTGGTACAAGCGATAATGGCGATAAAATTATGGTTAAATTAAATCATTGAAATCTTTATTATCTTTTTATCTAGAACTAATATATTCGTACAAAAAGCGTGTAAATCGTTTGTAATTTAAAAAAAACGTATAAAATAACAAGTCTAGCTGTAAAACTATTTAGATCAACGTAAAAATTACATGAGATAAATTAAATTAATAAGTATTCCAACTGTGCTGAAGAATGTTGAGGTATAATCTTTGTAAAAAAGTGCTAATGAAATATGTATTTGGAATTGAGTAAAAAATGCAGCTTTTAGATCGGAAAATTCCTTGTGAGTAAAAATGAGACATTCGGTGTGTTTGCCCTCAATGGGGTAAACAGGGCCAAATGGAAATTTTAAGAAAAAATAGGAATCATATTTCTATATATAGGCAATAACTGGAAAATCTTTTGAACATATTACGATTTCAATAGTTGGTTGTTTGATATATGTCATATTTTGTGATGTAAGGTTGTAATTTATTTACTGCTGATATGCATAAAAGCTTATATTATATATTAGGATGGTGATTGGTGAATTGGATATTTTACTCGATGATGTATCTAATACAACTCAACTATCAATCAGGAAAGATACTTGCGATCTCTTCCATCTTGATAACTAAATGTAACATGATCATTTTTGTTAAGATTTTTATTTATATGTATACAGCAGCGCGTGATCAGTAACAGCTAGTTATATTATATAAAAGCATTTATTTCCGGTTATTTTATAGATGTTTCATATTTATTTTTACTATACAATATATCTTAATAACAATGTTCATGTTTTAAGTTACAATTTTAAACGATGTTCAGAATAAATCCTTTCTATAAATCGGTTTCAAATAAAACGAGTAACGCTGAGAACAATCACAACTCGCGGCAATACTTACGAACAAGAAAACGCTTGGAGTTCCTTTATCTACAGTACTGGTGGATCAGATAAATGCTATCGAAATTCTTATATTTTGACATAAATTGTTATCAGAGAAGAAAAATCACAAATGATTCAAGTATTCATTTTATAAATTTTTTATCCGATGATACAATAATAACAGCATGGTGATGGGAAATGTGTTGACATAACTCATGAACCAATTAATTATGTGTTAATTTAGATTACTACCACAATTAGTTTTACACACAAATTTGAAACTTAAAGTATATCGTGATAACGATTACACAAAATATTATTGTTTTTGATGGCCTATCATCGACTAAAATATTTAATATATAAATGAAGATAAATGGAACATTTCTAAAAATTGAATATATTGGATACTGTTTGAAGTAAAATAATATAATAATAAAAATATTTTGTTCAACTTTCATATTATAGAGACTGTTGTAAACTTGTCTGCTTACAAAAACATATTTTTGTAAAATATATATAAAATAATGGTTCAAAGTTAATGTGCTTGTTTAATTCGTAAGAGTTATCAGTATCAGACGCATGCATTGATTTCGTAACATTCATTATTATTTCATTGTTAAGTGTTTTAGCTGATAACGATCAAATGATTGAATTTTTTAATTAATTTATTTAGTAGTAGAATATAATCTGTACTATTCCGTCTAATGTGGTTTAAAGCTTTTTTTCGTTTATTTAACCCACTGTGGTTAAGTTACAAATATACTCGTCAAGAAGAAAAATGTAATGTAAACGTTGTTTAAGTATGATTAGTAATATCGGATATAGATTTTCATATAGTGCTTATTGAGACATTTCATTTTAATTTATGTACGTATTTATGTGTATTTTCTCTGTACATTTCACCAAAATATCAAAATATTTATTATTTATTTTCCCAAACATTACTGGTTGGAGATGTGAGATTTGAATAAAAGGTCCCAGATTTGATACCCGCCTGGAGCACTTTGATGTCAAGCTGTAGTGATTTCGGTTTTTACTTGGTAATACAGGTACATATGTTACCAAGCAAAAATATGGCATTACGCAGCACCAATACAGAAATTCATGATTATTGCCATAAATGAAATAATATATTCATCGCATAGAAGGGACAAACGTGTGAATTGTTAATTATAAAGCCACGTCTTGAAGTTCTGAATGTTGTTAAATACTATATAGAAAATAAAATGAAATGAATGCGTTTGCTGATATGTTTGGTTCAGAAAACTAAAATTACTAAAAGAATTATTTTGTGCTAGATTAAATATAGGAAGTAGGGAAAACTGGGTACGGATGTGACAGGGTACTATGATGACAGCCATCATAACAGCTAAACTATACTGATTTAGATACAGGGCTAAAGGATGAAATATGAAGTATGTTTGTTCGGACAAGTTTTCATTATTGCTTTCAGTCAGTGTCTCGCATTAACATAATCTGTAGACCGCATACTAACTGTTCATTATGTACAGATAGATCACTTTGTTTATTATTTTACTGTAAGTTGAACATTGCAAGCTATTTACTAGTTATTAGTTTTTGCTTACGATTAGATAATTTAGCTAAGTCATAATAATGATTTATTTTTCAAAGTTTGCGTTGGGTAAGGTTGTGACAAATTTTGTGGGTACGGTTGCGACATTTATTTCTTGTCCTTTTCGGGTGAAGATCAAACAGATGAAAAAAAATTAACTAAGACAAAATGCGAAAAAAACATTCAATATATATATAAAGGAAAGGAAAATTCAATAAATATAAAAAAAGGTTTTACAAAGATTTTTTATTACCTTTGAAAAATTATATTTTGTTGTATTTTGCTATATGATATTCATCAACTTTGTTTAAATAATTATGTTGTGTTGTGTTTCATATTTCTGACAATAAATTATGTTACAACTGAGTCCTGAAAGTGTGGACGGTTCCGGCACTCGCCCTTTTTTTTACATTCATTGGCCTCCGCTTTACAGCATTTTTAGCCGCCTACATTATTCATATTATTTTTCATCACATTCTATACAATTCTAACATAATAATTTAACATATAAAATTTTCTACTAATTTTCATTCTTCTTCTTGATTCTCAATAAGTTCTCATTTTCTAAACTAAACTTTTTTCCCTTCTTACTTCTAATATAATTTTTCTTGTATTTTATAAATTAACAATTCTTAATCTAGTTTAATATTTTATAATAATTCTGGTATTGCTGGAGATTTGAACCAAATTCCTCGAGCGTGTGAGTCAAGAACGCTACTGAGTGATCGCTCTATTCCCGCCGCAAACACTCCCCTTTTCCTTGTATGATTTGATTTTATGAGTAATCCATTGTATTTAAAGGTATTTCAGTATTTCCACGTAGACAAATATTCAAACTACCATTTTATTTAATTTTTTCCCAGCGAACTGGTAAATTAGCAAAATTATTGCTGATAAAAAAGTGGCAAATCCGCACCCAGTCTCCCAATTATACTCGAACCATACATTCATGTTGTTTAACATATCACGTCAAAATACCAAGAACTCACCTAACCATCACATCATATCACAATTAGGTAAGTAACTACAAAGGCGCAATGATAAAAATTATCGCAATACAACCAATTATCTGTAATTAAATCAGAACTGTGTTTCGATATCTGTTTGCTTCGGAAATATATAAATATGCCCGGTAGCATTTGAATCGTGTCAGTGAATCGTTTTGAATCCAATTTGACTACAATCGACCGAGAGATGCAGATCGGGACTTTTCTTGTGCTCGCGACGGCGGCAATCAGCGCTCAATTCGCAGCCGCCGCTTCGAATGACACCGATCTTCCATTGGCTGATTATTGCAATGGGCCTCCTACGAATTGCAAGTTGCCTGATTGCAGATGCTCGGGAGTCGACATACCCGGAGGACTCAATGTGTCAGATGTACCACAGGTTAGAATCAATTAGATCAAATGCCGCTGATGTTACTTGTACAACTAACAGATTGTTATGAGAGACAAATTAGGGAGCGCTTTGTACCCCGTTGTATACACACACGCAGACACATACATATATACATACATACATACATACATATATATATATATATATATATATATATATATAACAAAGTATATAAATGTAACAAAGTCTAGTCATCGGGCATAACATCAATAAAAAAACATGAATTTCTTTCAAATTCATACGTTTTGGCTATAATCCTAGCCTTCATTCAGTGGAAAATTTAGTTAATCTTAGTTATAATAGAATATTTTAATAATCCATGGTATCAAGATGTGGTAATGCACTACACTATTTAATATAAACATTAAACATTAAACATGTAATTAAACAATACTTCACAAAACACTAACTTATACTCAAATAGATATTGTGTAATATATGTATTGTTTCTAAACTGGTTGAAGTCATAGTATTTTGTGAAATATTGGTTAATTACAAGTTTAATGTTTATATTACATAGTGTAGTGCATTACCATATCTTAATACCATGGATGATTGGAATTTTTTATTTTAACACTAAGATTAACTAATTTTTCCACTAAATGATGGCTAGAATTATAGCAGAAACGTATGAATGTAAAATAAAATTTTGAACAAAAACCATGTTTTTTATTCAAGTTATGCCCGATTACTAGACTTTGCTAACACACACACACATATATATATATATATATATATATATATATATATACTAGCTGACCCGACAGACGTTCTGTACCCACGTCTACAATTTTTCAATATTTTATACTAATATTTACTGCTTAGTTAAAAATAATAATTACTGTTTTTTGAATTACTACTTACACCAATATATGAGTGATGTTGAATGTAGAACTGTTTCAAATAAAATGATTGTTCTCAATTCCCACAGTTAACACTTTAATTATTCATTTAACAAATATTAAAAAATGTTCAATACAATTGTATATTAAAAATTATACACTGCGATTTATAGAACAAATTTATTTCCAATAGCTCAATTTATTTTATTGCATTTAAGGGTTATATAGTATTTTTAGTCATACCTGTAGATGTGGATGTATAAATGAATGATTTTTCGTTTATTCACGACTAAAACATTATTTTCCAAAATTATCACACTAAAAATTATCGTCTGCCTTTGTGAATTATGGTCATAGCATAAGATACACGTGTTGAAAATTGAAATCTTTTAAAAAGTACAACAAATTCAGAAAGAATTAATATATAGCATTCGCGGCAAAGGTGCAATATCACCTTTTATTTTTCTACCCAAAATAATTTCTTCAATAATGTTGCCTATAATTTTTATATTTTCGTACCATAATTTAACTGGCTTTTAGTAATTTTAATATCTAAATTACATTTTTTTCTCCAATAAATCAATATACATTATTGCTTAAGTTTATATTTGAAGTGAAATAATTTGTCAAATCCTGTTCACATGTGCTCTATTCAACTTACGATCAACAAAATTATTGCTCTGTGAATTTATTTACTGTGCTCCAATTTACTTGATATTTTGGAAATAGCCTAATCTTTATCTTAAGTTCAGAAGTGAAAACAATTTGCACTCCGTCACCATCCATCGCATTAATTGGATTATTACCCTTTTAATTCTGATTTTATCAGAACTTGTAATACACTATTTTAAAGGTGATTAAATGAGCTACAATTTTCTCTATCATAAATTTTACCGTAACTTCTCTTATTGTGAAACGGCGAAGGGTTAAAGGAATCGAAAGACCTCTGGTTGAACAGCCGCGCACTCCTCAATTAATACCTCTATCAATATTTGTGTAATGGAAAAATAATAAACAACAATAATTAGTCAGAAAAATACCTCGAATTTCCATATATATATACTTTTATACGTATTCTTTCAGAGATATTATAATGAGAAATTGGATGTTTTTTTTAATGTTTTTTTTTCATAAAATTATGAGTTTTTTGAAAATCGTTTGTACTAAAGTTGTGGTATTTAATAGAATCCATCAGATCTCTTAAACCAAGTTAATTCTAAATGGAATACAATTATTTATAAATTTAGTGGAAATGGCACTGAAAAACTATTTGATTTAAATGAAAAAACATTATATGCGTCTTTTATTTGCATGATAGTTTACTCAATTTACACGCAGAAGTACTCATTTTAAAGCTTATTTTGAGCACTATAAAAATCAATTTTCATATCTAGCCTAATAATGTTCCTAAAACACTATGAAATAGCGATTTATTAAGATTTTACTTGATATAATTTTGTTCATTACATGATTTTCGTTCAAATGCATATTTTTGAAGATATTAGCAAAAAATGATGAAAAACGCAAAAAAGAAACAAATTTTCAGTAGCCAGTAACTTGAAAAGTATTTGCTTTTTGAAAAACATCATTAAACATTTTTCTCTTATAATTAGTTCTTTTATCGATACCCAACGTTATTTTGAAAAATGTAAAATTACACCACTGAAAAGAAATGTCATCCACCCGAGAAGTGGTAAAGGAGTCTAAATTGTTTTCACTTCTGAAGAGTAAGATGAACCTAGTTCCAAAATTCCAAACGAAGTGGAAAACAGTAAAAAAAGTTCAGACCGAAAGCGCTCCATTGAGTAAATATTCCGTACCGAATGACAAACATATGAATTTTTGACACAATGAAACTTCTAAAGAATTTTTTTTGTATTGTGGCTTAGTATAGTAAGGCAAAACGACTGCAAATTGAATATTTTTGAGCGCAATCACTTATGGCTCGTCTCCTTTGCACGAATTCGTACGGCAAATCTGTTCGCAAAGTGCGTAAACAAAATTATTGCAAGCAAAAGCAATCCACAAACCACGCGCACGTTGAGAACACGATTCGCCGTGCGCGTCAGACGCATGCGAAGACTGTCAGACGCATGTTATATTATTTGCATCTTATATTAATTTAATTTTTGGCACATCTCAGCTGCTTTTCGGCATTAATAATGTAGACATTACATTTTCCTCATTCATAATCATGAATTTATTATATTTTAATATTGCCTTAGCCTATAAGTGAATAGAAATGTTTGGCAAATGACAGTTTTCAATTGTTTTTAATGTCAAACTAAGCTTCATATATTTTCAAGGGCAAACAATGATAAGCGGTTTTTTGTAATTTTTTCTATTTATTTCTACAATCTAACTATATTTCTATGAATCAAAACATTCTAAAAAATTTCCCGAACAAACTTCAGGAAGATTCATGAAAATCCGAATTATAGTTTAGGACAGGGGTGGGCAAAAGCCGGCCCGCGGGCCGGATCCGGCCCTTTTGCTCATTTTATCCGGCCCGTTGAAAATTCCCGCACGCTTATTTTTTTAAATTTTTTTATGAGATTTTGTTGACATCAACATTATTTGTGTGTGTACTGTATATATACTAGGCGTAATAAAATGGGCGGTACGCTGATTTTTACCAAACAAAGTAATATAGAGAAATCTACCACAAAAGCAAGTTATGTTATCGCACATAAAATTGCTAAGTTCTGTAAACCGTTTTCTGAAACAGAATTTGTTAAATAATGCATGGTACAAGTGTCGGAGATCTGTTGTCTTGAATAGAAACATATTTTTTGAAATGTAAGCCTTTCGAGAACAATTTTTACATGATGAAATAGTATCCTTCTTGTCGATAAAAGGAAAACTACATGATTTTCCTGAATTGCAAAATAAGGCTTGGCTAAACGATTTCTCGAAGCTCCTGTTGAAATTCAACTAGAACTAATTGACTTACAATCAAATAATTCACTAAAAGAAAATTTTCACTCAAACGAATTAAGTGCTTTGAATAACGAACATTTCAAACATTTTTTTTAACTATGTTCAAAAATACATTGTTATTATTCGTCGACATATATTTGTGAAAGAACTTTTTCTTTAATGGTTTCCACGAAAAATAAATATCGATCACAAATTACTGAAAATCTGCACTCGGTATTAAGGATTGCCACAAGTGATTTGGAACCCAATTTTGAAGAAATAATGTCAGATGAATATTTGAGATTTCACGTTTCGCAATAACTTTAATTATTTATTTTTACGTTTTTGAAATCTATTTACTATTATACCTACGAAATGCAATATAAATGTTAAATTGTAATAACTGGGCGTCAATATAAAATAATTTGTATCGTTAAAACATAAATAACAAAATAAAATGTTTCATTGACCGGTTTATCTAACAGCCATTTATTTATAATAATATTTCTTTAAAAATTACGTGATATATTTTATTCAAATTGAAATGATACATAGTGTTTTTGTCAAAAAAAAATTAGACAGGGAAAAAACTCCACCCAAAACCTCCGGCCCGGGAGAGACATTTTAAAAATTTCATTTCGGCCCGCGCTTTAAAGTATTTGCCCACCCCTGGTTTAGGAGGATTAATGAAACTTACATTGTTACAGAAGAATTTTATATATAAGATATATATATATATATATATATATATATATATATATATATATATTAGGGTGGTCCTTAAAATGGTCATTTTCGAATTTCCTTGCTCCCAGGGACTCAAATGGTTCCAAATTGATAAAAAACAATTATCTGAAAGTTTTAGCTTTTAATATTAACGTTTATTAGATAGAGCGCAATTCAATCAAACTTCGTATGGAGAGAGCATGGAAAATTTTTTGAAAATTTAAAAAAATGTTTTAGGAATAACTTAGCGACAGATGAATGAGTTTTATTAATTTATTTGTTCGCCAAATTACATCTAAAAACATTTTTAAAATTTTTGAAAATTTTTTCATGCTATTTTCATACAAAACTTAGATTGAATTGCGCTCTATCTAAATGTTAATATTAGGAGCTAAAACTTTCAGAGAATTGTTTTTTTTATCTATTTGGAACCATTTGAGCCCTTATGTATGTGTGTGTGTGAGTGTGTGTGTATGTTTTAGATGGTTAATTTTAATGTTTATATATTTGCATAAAATCTTAGGTGCAATATATACTAAAATATGTACCAACGATTGATCCCATAAATTTCCTCATATGATGTGATTTTCAGTACTTAAAGACACATTAGAGATTAAACATTATAAAACACATTCATCATAATAAATACATTACGTCGTAATTGACACTAACACGTAGCACTAAAACTGTTAGTAATTGTTCATTAAGTTGAAATTCTCCCGAAACGTCTAATTCATTATTTCTTTAATTCAAAAGAAAAATTACTTCATATCATTATTTCATTTTTATAAAAAATTACCTTAAAAATTAAGATTCTATAACTTGCAAATAAAACTAAATACAATATTTATCATAGTGAAAAAAACTTCGAATTAGAGATTTTATAGTAAGTTACCTTATAGTAACATAAAAATGACAGTACAAAATATTTCAATAACTTTCAATAAATTGTATGAATTGGGCGTAGCACATTTACAAAAAAGTAAAAACAAATCATGGTACGTTGTTAGATGTGTAAACACCCAATATCCCGTTCTGAATCATAAGTTCAATGAATAATGTGATTGTGAGCATAAATATTGCTTGTTTCGTTTTCAATTTCTAATTTAATAAGTATTTTTTATAATTGCTTAGTTCAAATTGCATGTCAGTCGTCGCGTATTTGGCTTGCACAAACTAGTTCTGGGTTCGATCCCAACCTTTACTAAGCACGTTTAAAGTTATAGAATATAATCTCAAGTAAATCTTTGCTGCACCACATATAAGTCAAAACTATAATCTATTAATATGCATAATATTGCTACAGATGCTGTCCCACGGATCGACGAAATAAACAGAACTGTGCAGTTCCATCATTTCTGACAAATAATAAAAAATGACCTATTATAATATTTTGATTTGCGTTATTATTATCGACTGATTTTAATTTTTTTATATCTTATGGTGTTTCAAACGTAACAATCGTTAATAATGTGTAACATTTTTGTGATAGCTAAGTTATATAAATATCGTTAATAATGTAAAAAAATATCACACTTAGGGTTAGTTGAGAAAATACTGTTACAACGAGCCCCTAGCTCACATATGATACATAAAAATATCAAAGAACAGAGGTAATTTGTTGGGTGCAATGTATGTTAGCAAACACAACTCACAAAATACGTAGTTCTAACCGCTAGAAAAAAATTAAATACTACATGCTACAATATGAACTTGTGCTACAACAAGTTAAATAACTTGTAGAATGAATAGATAAATGAAAATTTTATCGATGTTTTTTTTTTCCTAAACTTAGCTATGTTATGATGGTTAAAATGTCAAAATGAAATTTATTTTTGTTATTAATAACAATCAGAACATTAGTTACATTCTATGAGTTATTTTCATTGACATTAACTAAATATAACTATAGATAGTAGTTGCCCCAGTGGGTATTAACTATTAGATAGAATTCTACTATATCCAGTTAATTAGCCATAATTTTTTCTTAGCCTCCTTAATTCTGGTGTAATTAGCAGCGGAGCAACGAATAAATTGGGTTAATTTTCTAATTTGTGATAATAAGTGGTTATTGTTTTCATAAATTCGTTAATATTTACCACCTTCATATCATTATGCAAAGTTTTGTTGCTCACGTGTCAGGGTGCACCCTTCATCACTCTAAGTAGTATTGATTGGGACCGCTGTACCAAAGCCACATTCAGAGCAGCCCCAAAGCTCTATTCCGTATGACCAGGTAGAAATTATTATCGTTTTATAAATCAAGATTTTGTTTTCGAGTGCTAATTTTGAATTATGTCCGATGAGTCAATAAATTGCCTTAAATGTATATTGAATAGCTTAGATTTTTGTTGTAATGTGGTGTTTCCATGTTAGTTCCTCCGGTGTAGATGCATACCTAGGTTTTTAGCATAATCAGCTCTTGGTATTATTTGGTTAGAAAAAGGTACTCTTGGGTATGTTATCTTATTCAACGTAATTGTAAAATGGTTAAACTTGCCCTCGTTAATTTTTATTTGGCTTAGTCTATAACGTTTAAATAGATTAAAATGTCATGTTTTAGCTAATGTGTCATATATCTAAATCATATTTCAAGTAAACTGTAGAAGAAACTGCCCAATGATAATATTGAAGACTTTTAGCACTACCATATCTTTGCATACGTGAACAGTATTGTTGAATACACTTATTTGAGTGATTTTCCAATTATTGATAAAATATTAACTGAACTATAATTAACTGGATCCAGTAGAATTCTATCTAATAGTAAATACCCACTGGAGCAACTACTATTTATAGTTTTACTTAGTTAATGTCTTTGAAAATAACTCATAGAATGTAATTATTGTTCTGATTGTTCTTAATATTTTTTTTACATTTTGACATTTTAACCATCATAACATAGCCAAAGTTTATCACAATAACTTATATGTATGTTTGAAAGTGTTTGTGTATGCGTGCGAGTGAATGTTTTAAGCCAAATAGTTCATGAAATTGTACTGCATTCTGATTGCTATTGAAAATAATAAAAAAATATATAATTTTCAGTTTGTAGTTGTTACATTCGATGACGCAGTAACTCTGCAGAGCTACCACTACGCCGAGGGAAGTTTCCGCGGACGTAAGAACCGCGACAATTGTTCAGCAGCCTTCACATTCTTTGTTTCTCATGAGTACACAGATTACGAAAGAGTAAACGCTCTATGGAGCTACGGTCACGAATTGGGTCTTCGTTCCATTACGTAAGTAAAAAATAAATTATTCACATGAATAAATTCTCATTCAGATAACTAATTTAAAATGGTTTGTTCAAACAAATGGTTCCAAGTGAATTCAGAATTTATATTTCATTCAATAATAGGTGAATAAGAGTATGATGTTTGATGTTACTGTATTCAATGTAAATGTATTCAATAAATTCATAGAAGTTATTATAGGCGCAAATCAATTTGACTCACATCATCAGGCTATTTTTTTTTTAAATATTTAAAACTAAATTAAATTAAAACAAACAATTTTACAAGAGAAATATAATGAATAGGTATTCAAATACTGCTGACAAACGAAATACCAGATCATGGTTTCTGTAAAAAATGTATCCTTGAAATTCATGTTCCTTCATTTACATGAATAATGTAGCAATTATTTCGTAAAATTTCTTCAGTATCAAAAATAATACAATGAATCTGTTTCTTATTTTTAAGATCAAAAAATAACTGAAAATTTGATTGAACATGGCTCAATAGTTGCTTGTTTGATACGTGTTATGTATTGTGATGAAGTTCATTTGGTTTAGGCAGTTTAATTGCCTAAAGTCAAATTTGACCCTTGTGCCCTACAGGAAATTAGCGAATAAAAGGCTCTGACAATAAGTCATTTTATGTTAAATTAATTTTGATATGAGCAATAAAGTGAAAAAATGGGCCTCACACACATTGTACTGTGAAAGCATAGTCCCAAAAATTATTTAGATACGGTTTTAATCAGTTAGTATTACATCTATATAAACATAAGCTTGTAGAACAAATAAAACATGTTTTAGTTTTTAGAGTAATTTATGTATATGTTTAAAAATAATTTGCATAATTGACAATGGAAATGATTATTCCAACGGTTTTACTAAACTTTTTTTTAGTATTATTTCGTAATAGTTTTATTAGTTATATATATATATATATATATATATATATATATATTTACTTAGCATAATAGCTCATAGAAATTTATAATTTTTGATTGCTTTTAATAAATATATATAAAAAAAAATGTTTATATAATTTAATTAATACATCATGAAATAGAATTTACAAAATTTACTGTAGTATTTAATTTTAATTCAATTTTGTTTTCAACAGAAACACACCATTGAGCGACTACTGGAGATACGCATCGGTCGATGTATTGAAAAGAGAATTCGGAGGTCAAAGGGAGCAATTGGCTCATTTTGCAAATGTCACAGCTAGTAACATCACAGGATTGAGAGTTCCATACCTTGAATTATCTGGTAAATAATTAAAATCTAACACATCAACATACCATTGCAGAAAAAAATAATTCATATCGGAATTGCTTTTGCAGGAAACAACAGCTTCCTTGCTTTAATTCAGTTGAATCTGACATACGACTACACATGGACCACAAAAAAATACACTTCTCCCGGTCTGTGGCCATACAATTTGCAATATAGATCGAGTCAGGAATGTGAATACGGTAACTGCCCGACTGCTTTCATGCCTAAAGCTTGGGAGCATCCTTTGTTGACATGGTTGGACAAGTCCGGAACTCCATGCGTATCAGTCGACTCTTGCGCAAATATGTGAGTAGTCGATAAATGACAGAAAATGTAAAACCGATATATTTTTATATTGATTTTAACTACAGCATGAATTTCACTAAAAAGATTTCGAAGATTTTGCAAATACGCAATAATAAAATCGCAATTTAATTTTTATAGTTCAAGAGCAATTTATATAAAAAATAAAATGAATTATAGCCCATTTTATAATTAGAACAGAAGTTGACATTACACTTATAATTAATGAAAATTTTACATGTTTACTATTTTTCATAAAATAATTTAGTTATTAATTTGCAGCCCCGATGAAGAAGATGAAATTGTACGTTGGATGGTAACCAACTTCAACAATAGTTACCACACCAACAAGGCTCCATTCAGTGTCTTCGTTCGTACCGGATGGTTTGCATCCAGAGAAGTTAATTTCAGGGCTTACAACAAGTAAGTGCAGTAAAATATATAAAAGACTAATAGTGCATTGTGCATTGAGACCTTTTATTTTCATTTTGAAAAATTTAAAAAAAATAGATTTTTTATGATAATCTTGATATTTTTTCAATTTTTTTCTACTATGATATGCTGCATAGCTGTTTTAGAGACTAAATATCAAACGCGTAAGCGCCCCATCTCAGTCTAACGGTTAAAAATTATAAATTTTGGTACGTAACCCATAGAAATGTGAACATTGTAACCAACCATAACAAATGTAAACATTGGAACAAAACCCATAGAAACGTAACCAAAATTTGTACTTATTATTGAAATATCTTTAAAATTTTTGATTTGATGTGCATATGTTTAGTAGGCTCGCCCGTAGGTAAGCGGTTAAGAGCGACGGGACTTGTTTCAGAGGTCCCGGGTTCGAAATCCACTTCGAGCAGCCTGTTGTCAGGCAGCAGTGACAACGATTTTCACTTGGAAATATAGATAGCAATATGATAAGAGATTCAGAGGATTTTGAAACGTAAGGATGTGCAAAAATTCCCATTTTGAATTGTTTTGCTAATACTATAACTTACTGTACGAGAATTGATGAAGTATATATCAGTTAGTTAGGCAATCAATGAATTGCTTTATAATAGCGTTTTACCTATAAATAGTTTGTATCCAAAACAGCCCATAAAACATATAGCAGTTCTCATTACTGTTAAATGAACTCTAAACAATACACTTTGATGTATAGAACTCGGTTTTGCACATTTAATAGGTGAAATAAAAGTTTAACGTCTTCATATGTTATTTTTCGTATTTACATTTATACATTTAGCACCTTCATTTTTTAATTGCAGATGCATTTTTAATTACACACAGTAATGGAAGCTTTTTTTTTAACTTCCCGTAGGTCAACTTATAGTAATCGCAAAAAAATCGAAAATGAAAATGTTTATATATCTTTACGTTTCAAAACCTTCTGAACATTTTGGCATACCTTAGAAAAAATGGATATATGTGTGTGTATGTGTGTGCGGATACAAATTTTTGTCGACGATTTCGGGAACACGGATGAAGCGATTTGAATAATTCAAACAACATTCGATTCGTATTGATAAGGAGACGTGCTGATTCGTTTTTGGCGAAGGCAGGTCTAGCCATTTCGAAGATACGGGGCAAAAAGTGCCAAAAATGGTAACTCGGTTTTTAAGAGAACGGAGCGTCCGATTGTAATAATTCAAAAAACATGTTACTTGTATTGACAAAATGAATTGATTAAATTTTCATGGAGGCAGGTTTAGCGGTTTTAGAGAGCTAGTAAAAGAAGTAAAAAAGAAATGCCATTTGGCGGTTAAAAATGATCATTAGACATATGCACATTAAATTATCAAATACTTTACAGAGATTTTAATAATAAGTATAAATTTTGTTTACATATTCCTATGGGTTCCGTACCAATGTTTATCCGTTAGACGGCGACGCGGCGCTTACGCGCTTTGACATTTTGTCTCTATGCAGTTAAAGCAGTACGATTGCTTTGAAAAAAAGTTCAAAATTTCCAAATTATATCAAAATAAAGAAAACATTTTTTCAAAAAAAAGTAATTTTTCGTCAAATTTATAGTTTCTCAAAAATCTTATCGAAGTAAAATTTTTTTCAACGATGTTAATCGTTTTTAAAAAAAATAATAATTTTTGGTACGGAAAGTTCCAGCATTTTGCCTTAAGGCACGATGCCATGCGCCCCACTAGTTTTATACTTTTTTTCCATAATAATTCTTTTTTTTCCTTTTCAAGATTCTTGGACTACCTTCAAACGTTGCCCGATGTTTATCTGGTATCCGCCAACCGCGTTGTTGAATGGACTCGCAACCCAATTGCCTTATCCAAAGGAGGTCCTTTCACTTCCTGCCAGAGGGTTCGCGCTCCATCCTGTAACAACGCTAAAGTCTGCCGTTTCTTAATGCCCACTGGTGAAGAACGCTACATGACATCCTGCCAACCTTGTCCTGTTGCATATCCTTGGCTCGACGATCCTCTCGGTCACGGATTCAACACAACACAATCGTAAAATATTGACACAAGTCTTAATATTATATGATATAGAATAGATTTAGTTAATTTTTAAAAATTGCGATATGAGATGTTAAGTATTGTATTATTTATGAACTATTAAATTGATTGTTGTTTATATCTGTCGTTGTTTATTTCATTATTTCATGATCATCTTAGTTTATAAATGTTATATATATATATATATATATATATATATATTAAAAATATTACAGCCTTATGATAAGTAGTTCAATTTTGAAAATTCATTAAAGTTTACAAAAACGAGTAGTTCTTTTTGACGTTTGTTAAAATTAACATTAGACGATTTACTTGGTATAATGATAGCGTACTTGGTCTTAATAAGCATACTAAATCATTAAAGTCCTTATAGAAACTCGGAATACTTTTTATCACTCATAAATTAATTTATTTTTTATTGATTAAGTCGATTATTTAAACTTATCGGGAACTTTATGTAACTTGCCTCAAAATACCAATAGCAACTTATTTTCTAGGCACCGGAGGTGGACCTTTTTACCCGCGAACCTTTAAGCCCCGTTATAATTATTTCAACAAAAATTCAATATGTTTTAACATATATATTTATTATACAAATTAATTTATTAGTAAAATGTCAAGGATAAAGTTCACAAAATACTAACAACAAAATTTCCAAAAAAGTACATTAGAACAACGTTTCTTGTAGGCCGAAAACTTCTACAAATACAGAAAACTTCGTGCAAAGTAAAAAAAATCCATAACAGGAAATAAAGCTCTCGAGCAACAAAAGCAAATATGTAACCGCTCGGCATCTCTCCGATAACTCGCCAATGCTCCGGCAGCATGTAGTTTTCTAATTTGATTTATTCGATTTTTCATTTAATGTATCTCAACACATTTCGCAGTTAAGGAACTGGCGTGAAAAATGCGAGTCAAAACGAAATACCAAAAGCGAACGTGAGAAATGCGCAAAACGGGGTGAATTAGGGGTCGTGGGTAGGGTAGGTTCCGGGTCGGAGTAAACTTTTGTTAGATGCCACTCGATAACATAGAGCGATCTATCGAAATGGCAAAGAGCACAACTTCCAATAGAAGAAGCTTGGAACGCGCTTTCGCGGGTTATATCTGAAATAAGATATCTCTATGTGTGCGTACGTTATGTTGATAACGCCGACACGCGACGCAAAACGGAACATATTTTACTTCGCGAAATCCGGGATTGCTAATTTTCAACGAAAGATGTGCACGCACCTAAATGCTGATCGAGCGACCCGCTATCTTTATTCATTCCGATAAGTAAAATCAGTTAATATTTTGTCACGAGCAATTTTTTATCGTCTAATCGTTTAATTTTGATTCTTTCAATTTCGATTCAATCATGAATCAGGAAATAAGTACATAGTACATTTGTAAGACACATTATTCAGATTAAATTTTGAAATCAGAAAAAAAAAAATAGAAAGAAAGTACATTTATTCAATTGGCTATGTGCGAAGGCATGGAAGGGGAAGTCAAATCGACCGAAGCGTTCGTAGTGGCTAACTTGGAGCACTAAAAGGGGCTATTATAAACAAAATTTTAAACAAAAACACATAAAATATTTATTTATTTCAAATTTAAATAAGATAATTAAAAATGAGCCACCATATCTGTTGTGTAGTGGGTTGTAGAAATACCAGCAGAAAAAGTGACTGCAAATTCTATACATTTTCTACAGCTAAGGATCGCAGCGGTTAGAAGAATAAAGTAAGTATCATAACCTTATTGTTATAAAAATACAATTTGGAGTATTATGAATAGTTGTAAAATTGTTATGTTTAGCAAAAAGAAAAATTATAAGTCAATAAATTGTTGTATTATCAAAATTTAATGCTTACTTAAAAAAATGTTTTGTAAAACAATGTAATTAATACAAGCCTGAAATAATGAAAAATACATATTTATATATTGTATATTGATTATGTATAACTATTATCTATATATTAATTACATTTTATTATATAATAATTGTAATTTTATGATTAAAAGAAAAATAAAAGTTATCACATAGCGAAAAAATGTTTATTTTGCAAACAGTTTAATTAATACAATGCTGAAATAATGCGAAATATATATTTGTAGTGTTGATGGATCACCGTGGGTTCCCAAGCCCTATGATCGCATTTGCAGTGAATCGGTCGAGATATTGAGTCCTACCTACTTGTCAACTTGGTCTTGTCTTTATAATAATGTCTAAATTATGTCTTTATAATAGTGTCTAAGTCTTTAGTTTGAATGTGTTTGAAAAAAAATGAGTAAATTAATTTATTATTTACTTACTCTATTGATAAAATATTATTTATCATTATTATATTGTTTTTATTAAGAACTATTCCGAGATTATGACATAAGCTTTGAGGCACTTAACCTTAAAATTATTTACTGCATTTCTTTATTTAATTAATGATTATACTTAACTATGTTTTAAGTACGTTGAAGTAAATTTAATAATTTCAATAAACATTCAGCGTTCACATCATTACTGTATCTTGTTTATTATTATTTATAACAATTATTTAATATCTTTTTTCTTTAACAAACATGTAAAACCCATGAAAAACACACACTGATAGCCCCAATCAGTTCATATTTATTACGGCGCTGCATGGGCGCTGCAGTCACGCTCGGAGCGAATACAAGTTATTAACTTCCCATAGGGTAAGTTATTGTAATGGATCGATAATCGAAATTGAAAATTTTTGCATTTTTCGACGTTTTGAAGGTTTCTGAACATTTTGGCACACCTCAGAAAAAATGGATGTGTGTGTGTGTGTGAATGTATGTATCGATACAATTTTTCGCCCACGTTTTTGGGCGCACGGATCAACCGATTTGAATGGTTCAAAAAACATTCGATTCTCATTGATAGGGAGATGTGCTGATTAGTTTTTGGCAAAGGCAGGTCCAGCCGTTACGGAGATACAGAGCAAAGAGTGCAGAAAATAGAAATCGAGTTTTTGAGAGAACGGAGCATCCGATTTAAATGATCTAAAAATATTCAATTAGTAATGATTGGGAGAAGTGATTGTTAGTTTTTGGCAATGGCAGGCCCAGCCATTTCGAAGATACAGAGCTAAATGTGCAAAAAATGGCAGTTTTTGAGAGAACTAAGCGTCCAAATGATTCAAAGAACTTTCAGCTTGTTTTAACAAAATAATTGATTTTGGAAAAAAAAAATTGTAATTTTTTTTTTAGTTTTTTTGTATATCGAAAATAATTCAGATTTTATTTCTAATTCGGACTAAATTTCTAATATACTTTAAACAAATAATTTGAACTTTGCAATTCAGTTTATATAAATCTAAATATTTGACAATGTTACAAAATTTATAATAATCTATTTGAAAACATTCAGTATTCCTTGAACATTTCGTTACGGTACGGAAAGTTCCAGCAATTTGCCTTAAGGGGGTCTCCTCATCAGTCAGTTTCAAAAAATCGATTTTTTTATTTTTGCTTCAATCGTTAGATTAATTATTTAAGAATATTCTTGCAAAGTTTGAGAGTCCAACTCAAACTAGTTTAGGATTTACAGGTCCGAGTAGAGTCGCGCGTGGGCAAGCGCCAGTCAAGCCGCGCAACTTTAAAGCTTATTTTCCGAAAACCGATTTTTGTAAAATTCCGTGCACGATTAAAAATGAACCATAAAAGCTACATATACAAGTAAGACACCGTTTTTTAGATAATTTTATTGTCCATAGATTGAACTAAAAACATGTATTGAAAATTTTCATTTTACAATGTTGTTAACGCAATTACTCCTTAAAAAAGCCCTAAAAAACCAGTACTTTTTTTAAAAAATGTTAAAAATGTTTAAATTTCAACTTTGAGCCACCATAATAGTCTATGATGTGCAGAAAAGCCTTCTGAATAAAGAAGTATTTCCATTTTTAGTTTCAGATAAAAATTACAGGCTGTACCTTGCACGGAGTTTGAGTTGTCAATCGCGAGCTGCTGCGCAAGATTGTTTATAAATCAGCCATTTTTATTTATTTTGACATACAATAAATTTTATTTTGTTGAATAAATACGTGTTCAAAACTATGCAAAAGATCTTTTGTTTCTCTTGTTGTTTTCATGTTCAAAAAAAATACTGAAAAATCCCTTTTTTTGTAAGCAACTGATGAGGAGACCCCCTTAAGACACGATGCCTTAATTGCCACTTACAGCTAGTTTTAACTATGTTTTTCTTAAACAATGAACATGTATGTATATAAATAAGACATATTTATCTTGCATAATTTTCCACAATATTACCCATTGTTTCATTTATGATTAAACAAAAAGGTAAAGAAGTAATTTTACAAGAGGTAAATTGATTAAACAGTTATACGAACTCGGCTAATGAATTTTCCTGACAAAATACTAGATCAAGGTTATATGCAGTTTTATCTCTGTGAAAAATGTTTCCATGAAATTTATATTTTGCATTGATTAAATAATGTAGCTATTATTTCGCAAAATATATTTAAAATTAAAACTAACACAAAGTACGTGTTTACGTACGGAGTTAATTTTTTGAAAAACAGCAAAACTTTTTTGTACAATTATGGATTAGCTGGAAGTTTTACTGAATGTATAGTCAGATTGTTGTTCGTTTGTTATGTGTTATTTATTGTTGTATAATTGGTTTGATTTTTCCATTAAAATTGCACAATGTCAAATTGGACTTTTTTTCCACCTATATAAACAATTAATTTATTATGCTGATTTAATATGATATGAATATTATATTATAAACAATTAAGTTATTATGCTGGTTTAAGGGGCACAACTAGTGTGAAATTTTCGATTTTTGTTTTTTCATATTTCGGTAGATTACACCTTTAAAAATAACATATTGAAATTTCAAATCGATATCTCAAATAGTTTTTGAGTTACAGCCATTTAAAAAGTATACATATAGTATATAGTACAACGATCATTTTATCTTTAAACGCGTTTTTCTCGAAACAGCATTTTTCGAATTTGCTGCAG